GGCGCGGTAGCCGCGCGAGGCCAGATCCAGGATCTGGTGCCGCCACGAGTACCAGAGCTCCGGGAAGCCATGGATGAAGAGGACCACCGGACCTTCGCCTTTCTCCGCCACGTGCATATTGATTCCGTTCACGCTCACGGTGCTGTGGCGTATGCTCTCCATTCCGCTCTCCTTCTCCATTTTTGATTTTGCTGTTTCAGTTTGATTCTGCTTAGGCCCTGCTCTTATAGGCGATGAGAGAGGCGGAGAATTGAACAGTCCGCGAAGAAACTGCCAAGAAAACCGACACATCGGTTCAATTTCAATGCGGCCTTATGAATTAATTTTAATTATTTTATTTCTTTTTTTTCTCGTTCTTTGCAATCCGTTGCTGTACGCACAGTTCCGCGATTTATATCGTCGCATAATATTCCTATTTTGATCTGTCTGCAAAAAGTTTAAATTATAAATAATCTATATAAAAGAATTTGCTTTGGGAATAAACTATTTTAAGGCATCATTTATTCCCATGAACAGGTACGTTCATGTTTGAATTATCAAGCAAAGCATAATCGAAAGTTAGAAACTTTGCCAAAGAAAACACGTGTGGACATATTTTTTTCTGAAAAGGTTGATTTTATTCTTAACCTGAATGCTTTGTTCCTCAATTTTATTAAGAAAAATTATTATCTTTCTTATTATTAATGAATTATGTAATAAAATTAATGTGAATGCAGCTTATGGTTAAGATTCCAAAAAAAAAAAAAATTAATTAGGTATTCAAATTTCCATCTCACGTGCGAACTATCTATTGTTTTTAGCTTCTACCATTGGACAAGCCAGGACAGAAAGCTGGACAACTCAACATAGGAAGGTTTCGCCAAAATGACTCTCTTGCAAGGAGGTGAGCAACCTCATTTTTCTCTCTTTGCGCACATGCACAAAGAAAGCGGCTAACAACGAGTTGCTCGTCTCCTTTGAACATATTTAGTAACGTTTCTGTTTCTTTATTTTTTATGAAGAAAAATGTATTACATGGTTTCAACTTCTAAGAATTCAAGTATAATAAAACAATATTTTTATTTATGTTTTGGAACAAATTGAAAATGGAAACAAGAAAAGAGAAATTTTGTTTGGTTCTTTCCAAAATTTATGTACAATTGTGAGAATATTCAAAAAAAAAAAAAAAATAGACACACGAAACAAAATTAGTTGTAAAATGTTTAGATTTGTTTAAAAAATTGGAAACGAAAAATAAGAAACGGAAACATTATCCAACCAGACTTCTGTTTGTCAAAGTTGGTGCCCCAGAGAATCAGAGCCAAGCAACATTTGTTCAGCAAGGCTGGAAGAGTCAGAGTCCAAATATATATCCTTGATATAAAACAAAGTCCTATTTCTATGATTCAGATTTTAGAAATATAGGGTCCGTTTGCTCCTGTTTCCAATTAATTAGGTTTCTTGTTCCTCATTTTCTGGGAACATTTTTAAAATTGTATAGAAATTTTTTTAAACAATTAAAACAAGTTTCTTGTTTCTTATTTCTTATTTTCATTTTTTATTTTTTTCTAAAAGATAAATAAAAAGATTGTTTTATCATATAGTCATGCAATTCATTTTTCTTTATTAAAAATGAAAAAACATAAATGTTATCAAACGAGTCCATAATTTTTTCAAAACACGATCTTTTAAATAAGAAATTTGGATAGAAAAAAAAGGAGATTATTTCACTCTCTCACTAATCAAATATTAGAAATATTAGAAATATAAAACCTATTTCTTACATAGATTAGTAAAATTTTATATCCAGAAGATATTTCTAACCTTCAAGCAATCATGAAACTGGAACAAATTTTTGAGACCCCGTTTGGTTACCTTTTCGTTTATTGTTTCTTGTTTCTTGTTTTCAATATTATTAAGAAATATAAGCATTTGACAAACTATTTATGTTAAAGATCCCACGTTGAAAATGCAAATGATCTAACAAGAGTTTATAATATAAGTGAGTTGCTTATCTCGTTACTAATTTACTTTGAGATGGAACCCATGAATATTAATATGTAGGAAAAAAATTAGCTCCTCACTAATAAGGAGGAATCATGTCCTTACCACCATTAAATATCTGACAATTAAGAGATAGAAATGTAAAAACAAAAAATGTTTTAAAAAAATAGTAAATTGTCAAATATTTAACGGTGGTAAGAATAAGATTCCTCCTTACTCAATCAAGCATTTGGTGAGGAAGGACACGAGATACTAGAGGGAACGTTTCATAACTTTTCTAAAATAACAACTTTTATATCCCTTACGTGACATATGTGATCGTCAAAAGGAGATTCGCATGCGAAAACGTCTCATATTTTGGGTAAAGTGTTATATAAAAGAAAATTATTTAACCTTTTCTCTCTCTATATATATAAAGTTTTAAAAAGTCCAACATTTATAATTGGACACAATTTATGGTAAGGGTGTTACTGTTTCCTGTAGGACCCACTCTACCATTTAACTTTTTTATTTATTATATATTAGATATATTTATGTATGAACCCTAAACCTAAATATTTGAATATGAAATTTATTGTACATTTTTGGTTTACGAGATGAATACTGGGATGTAAAATTTACTAGATATTAGACAGTGCTGTGATATTTAAGTTTTTTAATTTATTTTATTGACAACTTAAATTCTGAATTTTAAATTTTGTAATTTGTTTTTTTAATGCTTTATGATACCTCCTTAGTAAATTTAAGAATTTTTACTTTTAAATAGATATTCTTTTAGAATTTAACTATTTAAATAGGTATATCCATAGAGAATTAACATTTAAGTGATAATTTAAAAAATAATAATAGATTATAATAATAATAATTGAATTAAATCACTCATTCTCAAGCTATTCGCCCAGGTGATCCCCTCTCGCCATACTTATTTCTCCTTTGCGTCGAAGTCCTTTCTATGATGCTTTACAACGCCACCTCTTAGGCAAATTTCATGGAGTCTCCTTTGACTTCGAAACAGCTCCTGTAATATTTCGTTTATTATTCGTGGATGATAGCTTGATTTTCCTAGATGCTAATGAACTTGAGTGTCTTTTCCTGAAAGATTTATTGGCTGCTTATAGTAAGACTTCAGGTCAGTGTATAAATTTTTCTAAATCAGAAGTGATGTTTTCCCCCAATGTCCATGTGAATAGACAAGCTTATCTTCAATCTCTTTTGGACGCTCAACTAGTTAAAGACCTTAGGAGCTATATTGGATTGTCTTCCTCTTTCATTAGGAGGAAACGAAATGACTGGAATACTCTTAAAGATAGAATCTTTCTTATTAAAAGTGTGGCCCAAGCCATACCCTCTTACACCATGAGTGTCTTTCACCTTCCAAAAAGGTTTTGTAATGATATTGCTCGTATTTTCACTCGTTTCTGGTGAGGCTCCACCAATGACAAGAAGAAAATGCACTGGATGTCCTTCGACTGTTTGTGTCTCCCTAAGGAACTCTGTGGATTGAATTTTCGTGACTTAGAAGGTTTTAACAAGACCCTCATAGCAAGACAAGCCTGACGTTTTTTAAGGAATCCATCCTTATTGCCCTCAAGGGTTCTAAAGGCGATTTATTTTCCAGATTCTTCTATTCTAGAGGCTATTGATTGCTCTAACTCTTCTTATTTATGGAAGAGCTTCCTATGAGGTCGTGACCTTCTAGCCCTTGGGATTCGAAAACAGGTAGGATGGGGAGATACCATCCGAGCTTTTTCAGATCCTTGGTTGCCCAGAGAGAGTTCTTTCAAGCCAATCTCCCCAACCACATCAAATGGTGATATATGGGTGTCAAGCCTAATTGATGCCCATGGCTATTGGAACATTGAGTAGTTATTTATTTTCTTTTGCCGAGAGGATATTGATCTGATTCTCAAAATCCCACCGAGCCTATTTAGCCTATCAGACTACTGGTTGTGGCAAAATGATAGAAAAAGGTTCTTTAGTTTCAAAAGTGCCTACAAACTATTCATGAGTACTAAAATTACTTCAGAATCCAGCAATACTTTGATCGGAAGGAGATTTTGGCATCATAAGTGGAAACTCAGTGTTTCCACAAAAATCAGAACCTTTCTTAAGAAATAAATGCATAATATTATACCTAAAATGTGTAATATTAGGAAAAGAGGTTTGGATGTTTCACATGTGCCCGTAAGAATAAGGTAGAATCCAACAACTCATGCTCTACTCAGGTGTCCATGAGCGCAACAGATTTGGTCTTTTGTTCTTCTCCAAGAACCGTACTTCTTGAATTCGGAGATCCCTTTCTCTAACCACTAGGAGAAATGGTAAGAAGTTCTTTGTAAATGTGAGATAGAAATTGCAGTAATCACTTGTTAGGCTATTTGGAATGATCGTGATCAACTAATCCAGTAGAATTCTATTCTTGATGTTCTTTTAAGAAGCAAGTGGATTGCCTCGTACTGAGCTGCCTTTCAAAAAGAGAATGACTCTCTTCGTCCAACCCCATCCGTTTAGGTACTTATTTATCCTCCTTCTGATGGCTTGAATTTCAAATTGAACACCGATGCGGCTTGTGGGAAGCATGGTTCCTCGACTTGTTTGGGGTTTCTTATCAGAGGTACCAAAGGCACGATTCTAGCAACGAGTTGCGCCCTCTTCCTGTTGCCTACTCGCCTCTATTAGCATAACTGTTAGCCATTCGGGAGGGCCTTCAATTTGCGTTCTCCCTTGGCTAAATGCAAGTTTTGGTGGAATCAGATTCTCTTGTAGCCATCAGTCTAATTTGCGGCCATTCAAACACTCTGGGAACTGAACGACCTTGGATTCACGACATCAAAGCTTCTTCTCTCACCTTCGAAGCCTGTTCGTTCTTGCATGTTCCCCGAAAGAGCAATCGAATGGCTGATATCCTAGCAAAGCATGGTCTTCATTGTTGTTCTTCTCTATCTTGGACAGATAGTTTTCCTCTTTGGCTTCTTCAATGTATTACATAAGAAATTTCTTTTGTGGCCCCCGTGGCCTTCTTGCCCTAGTGAAAGTTACTTCTACTCAAAAAAAAAAAAATAAATAAATAAATAAATCATAATATTAGATAGGAAATAATCTCCGTCCCCATCCCAGCGTAATTTCGTGTGGTCTACAGAGTTGAGAGGGATTTAAAAATTATTTATTATTTTTAATTGATTTATTTGGTCCGGGAGTGAAACAATGCTATTCGCAATGACGTGTACAAATACCCAACCTTGATTTGCAAAAGTGTTACTTTTCGAGGAGATATGAAATTTTTTTTAGTACCATTGATTCTAAAAAAAATATTTATGAAACAAATTTATTGTGTAAATATGAAAAGAAAATAATCTTATAATACTATATATTTTCTCAAGCAGGTTTCAACTTTTTTTTATTTACATACAAAAATTATAGATAAATAGAACTAATTTTTTGCCTTATATTCATATTGTTGATTATTATTATTATCGTCATTGTATCAATTTTAGAGTTAGAAGGACGGTTTTAGCATAAATATACAATTGGCAAGATTCCAATTTCTTTTTAGACTTTTAGTTTTAGTTCCTATGATTGCATAATTTTATTTTTGGTCTTGAATATTTTTTTCTTAGAATCATTATATCCTCAAATATCGAAGTGAATATAGAAAGAACTAAAATTTATGATTGAACGGGTAAATATTTAAAAATGTATATAGCAGGTTTTCTTACCTAGCTTTTATGTATTGTATCCTGAATAAAATTCCTGAATTTACCATCGGATGCATTGGTTTAACAGGAATATGGGCGGTGTTTATGAACTTACTAAATTTAATTACTTAGGTATTTCTTTTTAACTAAATATAATTATTAAATATCTATTTTGAAGATCGTATCTATTTCTGTTGGAATTTATAAAAAAAATAATTATTATTTTTAATAAAAAAAATGAGGAATCACAACTTTTCATGAAATATTGTGTCTTTTATAAATGTTATGTTATTTCATCAAAATACATAACTTTTGAATAACTACAAATAGTCTATATATAGGATTCACTGTTTGTTGTGAGAACATAACAAAAATCTTCCCTTAAAATTCTCATTTTTTTTCTTTGTACGATTACTTAAATACTATACTGAATTTTGTGATTGGAGCGCTGCACTCATAGGTTGGTAATATATTCTATTCTGTGAGACAATCGTTCACGATACCTTAAGCGTCATAGAGGGAATAAAACTGTCTTAAAGAAATAACGCTACTGTTGAGTTTGAATGGTTTATTAGTCCAATCAAATTTCACTCCTTGTGATGAAATATTAAAATAAATAAAACTTTAAGTCGAGAAAGATATTGTCTTGGGAATTGTCTCATCATTGGGCATGATTTGAGTTGGCTGGGCCAGATCCAATGGGCCTACACTAGATTTAAACTGGGCTGAACTAATTATATATTCAACCTATAATGTCAAGATCATGGGCTTATTATGCAGAAAAGTCTAGCACTACAAGAGCACCGTACTCCCTTCTGTTTACACAATAAAGAGAATGAATGTATCCTACTAAATCTGTATATCAGTCAGTCGGCTTGAAGGTAAAAACCCTTAAATAGTACTAGGGTAGCTTACAGGGGTAGATTCATTGTGATCGATTGAACGTAAAAACCAACCGACCGCCGTTGGTTTGGTCGATCGGGTCGATATTTTGGCCATGTCTGTACACTCCTCGACCATACATCATTTTTAATTCAATACTAATATTACAAGCAGTAAAGGGAAGAGAGTATGGTACTCTCGTACTACCAAAAAGTTTTCTCTTATTTTATTATATTTAACTTTGGAGGTTGATGGGAGACTCCAACCTTAACTTAAATAAGTAATATCATGGCTGATTGAACTATATATTTACCTGCTTGAAGTTTAGATTTACCTATTGAATTAAACTTTTTTATCCATACATTTTTATCATGTTGTCTAATTCCCAATATATCAACTAATTAAATAATCTTTTTTAATTTTAAATCTTTTGAAATTTAAAATTCAAGATTTTAAATCAAGCTTCATTAAGACATTAGATACAATTTTCAATTAGATTTTATTATGAAACTTTTGTTAAATTTATATATTCTATTAATATTCATATATAAGTTAGCATGTTAAATTAGCTCAAAAAGTTAGTTTGTTAAATTGACCCATCTATGATATGATCCTGTCCTAATTTTTCAAATATCAAGTTATATTCAATCTAAAGGTTTAGCAAATTTAAATTTAATTTATTAATCAATGTACACCATATTTAATATAGGTTAGGGTCCATCATGAAGCCCTTAGAATTAGTTTCATGAAATTGTCATTTTTCTTAGTGCAAGAAATAGGGATAGGAGATTCAAACTCATGAATTCTTGACTAGAGACAAATATTAATTATCGCTGAGTTAAGTTCAGATTGTAACTTCATCTCATTGTTGTTGATCCCAAGACAAACTACTTTTTTTTTCACTCTTAACATATTCTAAAGAAATAACTTTATACGATCTCACCTTTCCTTTTATTAATGACTAAAAAAGAAGTTGAAACATATTTAACAATAAAGCAAAGACTCCACGTGTATAAAGTATCATTTTTTTTTTGGGAAGCATATAAAGTTAACCACTCAGCCATTTGCTTAATAAAACTTACATAATTTGAGCACAAAGTGGAATTTGGTATCTATGATTTTAGAAGTTTCAATTGAATTTGATTTAAATTTGACTCTTATTAAATTAAATTTAGTCTTGATAGCATCACGGGGACTGTTTTACCTATTTAAAAAATACTTCTATTTTTAGTCCACTTCTAAATTTTGGTATGAAAGAAAATATAGCGTAATTCAACAATAATTAATATAAATTTTTTTTTTTAAATAGAAAGTTCAAAATCTCGTATTTCAAGTGCTAAACAAAATTATTATTATTATTATTTTTCGTAGTACAAATATATAATATTTGGTGAAAGTTAAATCATGTAAGGGTGCATATGTCATTTCAGCGACTCCGGTCAACACTGGCGTCTGAGTGTGAGTGTTGAGAATCGAAACAGAAACCTCCATGAATTTTCCTTCTGCTTTCTTCTCAAATCTCTATAACCTAAAATCCTCTCCAAATTCTCCATTCTTAAGAACAACAACATCTCCAAATCCTCCACCGCTGCACGATCATAATGGACGCCGTCTCCATCGGCGACGCCACTTCTCCGCCCGGCTTCAATGATTTCGCCCTCAGCGGAAAAATTATGCTCAGCGCAATCATCATCCTTCTGTTCGTCGTCATTCTCATCATCTGCCTTCACCTCTACGCCCGCTGGTACGTTCTCCGAGCCCGCCGCCGCGGTCTCCAACCCGGCCGCCGTCGGAATCGCCTTATCTTCTATTTCGAACCGGAAAATCCCGCCGCCGCTCCCGTCCTCGCCCAACGCCGCGGCCTCGACGCCTCCGTTCTCAACTCTCTCCCTGTCTTCACTTTCACCTCCGAATCGCATCCCGATCCAATCGATTGCGCCGTCTGTTTGTCCGAATTCGAGGAGAACGAAAAGGGGCGTACTCTCCCCAAATGCGCCCATAGTTTCCATATCGATTGTATCGACATGTGGTTTCACTCTCACGCCACCTGTCCACTCTGTCGCTCGCCGGTCGAGGCCGTCCCGGAGATTCCTGTGGTGGTGGCGATTTCCGCCGCTGAATCTGAGAGCATCGAACCGGGTTCGAGTTCCTCCGGGTTCTGCGCCGAGTGCGACCGCGCGGACCGGATGGCTCTGTCTCATCCTTCGTCCTCCGCCGGGTCGAGGTCGTTTAGGGCACGGCGGAAGCCGGCGGAAGTGTCGATTGAGATCCCGAGGCGGGGCGACGGCGAGTTCGCTGCGGCGTCGCCGTCGACGACTCCGTTGACTCCGTCTTTCAAATCGCCGATTAGTCGCGTGATGTCTCTGTCGTTCAAGAGGATCATCGGCCGGGACAGGCGGGGCGGTGCGTCCCCGTCCGGCAATGCTGGGGGCTGCAGCTCCGTCGCCGGCGCCGAATCGGATATCGAACGGGGAAAGGATTGCGCTGTGTGAATGAACTCAGCCACAGGGAAGACGAGTCGGCTCCGCTCAGTCAATGGTCAAGTCCAACGTGGAACTGACAACGCATACGTGGAAAGTATTGTCATAATTTAACGCAGACGTGGCAGTTGAAGTGTATTCTTTATTGAACAGAGTGTAGATATTTATGTCTGAATTTGTTGACCCAATACTATTCATCTCCTCTCTTTTTCATTAATGAAATAATTAGTGAACAAAGTTTCGGATTATTAGTTGATTAATCATGAAAGAGACCTAACAGCACTATATAAATTAAGGATTAAGTTAAATAAAGCATTCTCAATCTTGCTACTTTATTTTAATCTTTATACAATAGTTTTTTTAGGTAACCTAATAAAGGAAGAGAATTTGGCAAGTTGCCTAACTATATTTTAATTTCATGTAACTCTCAACTTAATTTTATAAAAAAAAAAAGAAAGAAGTTTCTGGAAGTATTACTAATTTAATTTATATTTTATTACATCGTAATCGAATTTATTATATTTTTAAAAACGAGTAAAGCTTATAAGCATAGGGATAAAAGAAAAAGTTGTCTGTGTTGGTTTATGAGGTGCCGCCAAAGCGAAGGGAAACCACTTTGAATGGCCGCCCACGTTAGCAATTTCCTATTGGTTTATACTTTATATACAAAGGGGCTTTGTCTCAATAGGAAATTATCCAAAATCAATCAATCAAATTATTTCTCTCTCTTTTTTTTTTTATTATTATTATTATTTTGGCGAAGGAGATGAGAAGATGCCAATGAAAATGGAACTTTCATTTCCAAGCTCACAAAGCAAAGTATCGATTGAAATTTTGATTTATATGATATATTTTTATCGGGTTATTTCTATGGCATTTTATAGGTAAGTAAATTCTACTCATACTTTTAGATAAATTCTACCAATACTTTTAGATACTAAATAAATATACAGAAAATTGTTAATTTTGTACTATTAAATTTTAGGTTTTAGGATTTTGATTTTTGACAAAATATTATAATTGGAGTTTGTTCTACATGAGAAATGAGAAAGATGCAAGGAGGGGCTGTGTTCCAAATGCTACAAAAGTAGCTCATAACTTTGGATTTTATTCATCCCAAAAAACCTAGTATATCAACTAAATTTATGCCAACAAAGACTCATACAAGCTTAAAAATTAAAATTCAGTGACCGATCACAAAAATTTAAATGGTCACAACTAATCTTTTCTGTGAAATCAGACCATTTACATTCATTTCATAGTAATATCATTCTAGCTTTCTATTCACAACCCTCATAATCATTTTTTTACGATTCTAACTGCTTTTTTTTAATAAATAACAAACTATAGTTTCAAGATTCAACTAAATTTCAAAAACGTATTATCATTATTAAAAATAATAATAACAATAAATCCTCCTCACTCAAATTCATGCAGAGTGCTTATAGAGCTTTTTTTTTCTTAATATCCATGAGTGTTCGAACCAGCTTGCACATACCTCAACTAATCTCACGACATAATTGTCTGATCTTAGTACATTTGATTGCTAAGGTAACTCGTAGGATATTAAATCTTAGGTAGGTGGTCATCATGATTTGAACCTATTCCATCATTAGCTATTTACATTTGTCCTTATTGACCACTAAGGCACACCATAATGTTCACATACAGAGTGCCTATAGTTAGGAGAGCAAAAATAAAAAAGGAAAAAGAAAGCAAAGAAAAAGACTTTTTTGTTTAAGAAAAACTTGATCTTAAAAAAAACAGAAACATTAAAAATGAAGCAATTATCTAACAAGACTTGCCAAACATATTCCGGCTATACAGAGATGTATTACATTTGTAGAGAACAAGACAATCAATACATACAGTTCCCCCTTCAGATGGGACTTTGGTCAACAAAAATTACATGCTTACAACGTATTTTTCCTTTGAATACATCAATTTCCCTCCAGATAATGATAATTACATCAAATCAATAGACTTAAAGAGGGAAAAAGGGAAAATTGTTAGACACTAAACACTTTCATACTCAATACCCCAACGAGTAGTTGGTGCTTCAAACTACCACATACAGTGTTGAATTGCTTAACTAGATTCTAACAGTCACCTAACTGTATATTAGATTTCGTCATCCTAAATCGACCGGTTCAGCAAATCGAGATCTTCGTCGCCTCTTACCTTCAGGAGTGGTCCTTAGGCTACCGACCTTTCCCAGCTTTCCAGGAAGTTTACGATTCTGTTGTGACAAGTCTCTCGTCCTAGACTGTTTGAGAGTATTGTTGTCATGGGAAGATTTATGGTTTATATGTCTCACATTGTCACTACTGCCATTTTCACTCTTAGACGAGGATGTCGACTGTTTTCTCAACATCTGATGCTGTGTTTTATCCGGTCGAATGTCATGGTGAGTAAGGCGAACATGGAATGGATTCACAGAAGTGTAGCAAATCGACTCCCCATCAACCCCTCTCTTTTCCAACTCCACCTCTCCATTGTTCACCTGAAAATTGACTAATGAGATCCAATTTTCATCCATAACAAAGAAAATTAAGAAATGGTTCCTATTATATGCTACTGTCGTTCTAAGTTTCAGCACTCTAGTACTTCTATATTGTTTGTTGGTTAAGAAGATTACCAATTGAAGTAGAGCGGAAAAGCTTCGTGCCACATCAAACTTCTCCTGTCCCTTGACAACATCAGAAAAAGACACGACACCTCCATTGTCAGCTTCACCAGATAACTCTTCAAGAATACCTTTGCCATATTCAAGAATATCGAATGGAGGGCGTATGTCCTATGACAGAAAAATAATTCTCTTAAGCCAGGAAAGTTATGAAATGAATATCGATCATGACAAAAAAAATAAAATTAGAACTGAGATACAAAAATATCAAAAATATTACTTGCTCTTCCAAATTGTGTTCAATTTTCTGTTTCCATGTAGAGACTCGAGCGGCCATTTCAGTTTGTTTCTCCGTCTCAGCAATGCTTGCCAGGAGTGCATCCTGTAAAAAGAAATTATGGGTAAACCTAAACCATCTACCTAAAATACAGCACGTCAAATAAGACAAAAACTAGGCATGATTTGCATAAGCGGATGTGGACTTCCAAGTTTTCGGACAAGGTACCTCCTCCTTGATTGTTGTTGCTTCTAGATATTTGTGTCAGTCTACCAACTAAAATAATGTGCAAAATGTAAATTTGAAAGACATTTAAGTGCAGAATTCTGCAAAATGACTCCATAATTCTTTTAGAACAAATTCTAGCAAACCAAAACCTACCCATACGCCATACCATATATCTCCAAAAACACCAGGATAGTATAGAGATCATGAACAACCCTTTTTTTCCTCTAGCCCAATAAACGAGGAGAATACATGCACCCAGTAACCAAACAAAATACTCCAGATCAGTTACCAAATTAATTTCAAAATGTAAAAAATGTAAATTTAGAGTACATGCCAACGAAAAAAGGGGGATGGCAAAATAATAATACCAATAAAGGAACAATTAAAGAGCCTGCTATATCTGTCAGGTAAAGTGTAGCGAGAAATCTACATACAACACTTACAAGGTGAGAGCGACAAAGGTCTTCTAGACTTGCTTGAGAATCTGGATATTCAGGTTCATATGTTTCACCATTATTAAAATGAGCAGCAGCAGCATCACGCTGTATTAAAGCCATGAGTTAAACAATCAACAGTATTCAGGAAAATAAATAAATTCAATGTACCAAGAGACCAAGCGTTGTGCTCTATACCTTTTCATTCTCAGAACACATAGCCTCATCCATAAAATGATTGTTGGAATCGTCAATATCAGGTGGATTGGCATCAGGCATTGCTCCTTCAAAACCATGATCGATATCCTCATCTTCTACATCAAAAGTGGGATCACAACTTTCATGTCCTTCATTAATAAGCGAGTTTCGCAGCTGTTGTCACAACAACTAGTGTCATTAACCTTATGAAACATTAAGTTAAAAACAACATACACTAGAATTTTACCTTTTCATATAACAAAGAAGAATTGGATTCATTTTGTGTATCAAAGGCATGTCTCCGCGCCTCCCAAATATTTGCAAACTCTGGACTAATTGGGCCATGTAATCTTGCCAGTGGAAACAAAGCAGTAACAGACTGATGCCTGCTAGAATCATCATAATTCTTTTTAAAAGCCTTGACTGCAAAGAAAGCAAGAAAAGAGAAAGAAACATCAGCAATCAGCAAGAGCTAAATAATAAATGAATGTAAATAGAATGCCTCAACAACCTTTCCTGAATGGTTTTATTTTCAAATTTCCAGGTTTGTGCGGATCCAAAGGCTTCCAGGGATCATCTTCATCATCAGAACCATCTGATTCTGAATATTCAACATCCACACCAACTTCATGATTTCCATGGGCAAAATCATCACAACATGGCGGATCAGGCATCGTATTATAGTCAAAGTCATTATTATTGAAACAACGGTTGGAAAGAGGTGATTGACCCCTTCCCGTAGATGACTTCTGCATATTTCCTCCTGAACGTCTCGAGGGAGACTGAAAGCCCCTACGGGTTGAGCTGCCCTTGCATCCATTTTGGCTTTGACCACCAAACTTGTTACCACCATTGAGAAAATCTTGAACTCCTTCTGCATCACACGGATCTAAGAGAATAAAGTCTTGAAAAATATCACTTGTGGTGGCCAACTGCAAAATTATAACTTACGATTAATTTCAAAAGCTTTAAAAAGGTGAAAAGTTAATTAACTACAACAACCAATTACCAAGTATGAATCCAACTCTCCATTATCACCAGATGCATCAAAGCAGTCGCCTTCAAGAACAACTAAGTTTGCCGGCGGCTTTACAGATTGACGTAACCAACCATCTTCTTTGGTACTGTCCAAGGAATTTTTTGGATCAACTGCAATTATTAGATGTGAACCATAAATAAAACAATACTTTATCAAAATACTCCACTAGTTTCACTATGACATAGAATTGATAGGCTACCTGGAACATCCTCTGAAACCCAATATAGGTCTTCATCCTCAACATTGTTATTAGAGCCACTTTGTTCACCCTCGATTGAGGTTCCTTCTAAATTATCCTGTTGCCTGCTTGAATAAAAAAATTACGAAAATGATTTTTTTTTCAAAAAAAAAAAAGGGAAAGGAAAGGAAAGAGTAATAACACAGAACGGTGTCAAGCAATATTTTACCCTAATTCAATGCCCTTCAGCTAAGCTGATAAAGAAATATGGTAGGTCAAAACTCATAACTCTGCTATCCATTCTAAATGATCCTAGGTTTCATTCATCCAACTGTTGCAGATGTTACTCGTTTTCGGTTTTGGGATGATCATGGACTAGGCAATGGATCCTGCTAGCTCTTCCTTGTATCTACAGTTTTTTTTTTCTCCCTAAAGAATGATTCATACTGCATCTTTGTTATTTCTTCCAATGGGCCTTTATCGTATAATTTCCACCTTACAAGATCCTAATCTTGACTTTTCCTCGGACATTGAAGATTTATGCATTTGGGTGCTAGATTTCTAATGGGAATTTACCATATAATTTCCATATATATATAAACTGTTGAGCACTGAATACAAAACTCAAAATTGAAACAAGGGTCGAACCTTTTCTGGGAAAGGAACTCCAGCGCACGAAGAACCAACGAGTAGAGGTATTCAACCTTTCGGCTATACACTTGAATCGAACCTTGAAGCAACAGAGCAGCTACAACCTCAAAAAGAAATTTCGGAAACATCAGCAGTCAGAAATATTCAAATTTTCATAGATTAAAACAGAGATGAGTGTCTAATGAAGCTTACCTTCGGCAAAATTGACAGAAACTTGGTTCTCGTCCTCGCCGGACTGAAGCTCACCACCGGAGCAAATCTGCACCAAATAGTTTTCGAGCTTCTGCGCAAGGTCCACTTCCCAATTTAATTGAAGGTCCCGCTCCGGCTGCAGCCTATGGAAACTAGCCTCTCCAGTGCCGGCGGTTTTACTGTTTCCTTCTCTGGTATCAGTCATCTTGAGGTTGAAATTCAAACATTCCGCTGCTGCTATAACTTCAAATGGAGCCCTAGGGATAGCAATTTTATGGAATAAAGCGACAGACCACTCGAAGAACAATTCGTCCGTCCGTGTAAGAAATTTTCCTGGGAAAATGATGAGCAAACTAAGAAAGCTAATGGATTGGCGCAACAATTCTTGGCTTCTTGGTGCTGCAGATTTGGAAGAGGATTCAAAATAGTTCTCTTTCCCGCTCGCTCGCGATTGAAAGTCAGTGGAAAATTGAAAATGATGCGGGAAGGAATTGAACGGGCCAAGAATTTGGGCTTTCCAAGTCAAAGTGTTGGGCCGCGTTCTCCCAGTCTTCCATCAAATTTTGGGCCTCTCTTTTCGGACCTTTTTCTATGGCTTGAATGTCATCTCATCCCCAACTTTTAGGTCATTTCATCTTGGTCCCTAAATTTTTAAAAATATCTATTTTAGTTTATGAAGGTTTACAAAATAACTATTTTGGCCTAATGTATATTGGACCAAATTATTTTTAGAAAATGACCCCTTCTTCAATTTTATAGTCCCTTTTCCCAGTCCATTGCATGTGTCAAAAAAGTGAAATCCCAATTATTTTAGGTTAAGTTATAGAGAATCTCTAAATTTTAATTGTTGCATCTATTTAATTTATGAATTTGGAAATCTTTCAATTATGATTCTTGAGAGTATTTATAGCTAACATTGTTATTTCTAAATATTAATATGATACACTAATTGAGCAAAGGAGTGATGGTTTTGTACAATGTTGAGGTTGTAAAGCGGGAGTGATGGTTTTGTATAATGTTAGAGGTTGTAAAGTGTTTGGTTAGTGATCCATAGTATATAATGGAGGACAATTATCTTTATTAGTACGAGGTCTTTTGGGTGAAACAAAAAATAAAAGGTTATCTTCAAAGCAGACAATATCATATTTGGGATATCATTGTCTTTAACAAGTAATATCATAGCCATGGTAAAAAAAACTAGTTTTGTGGTGGAAAATCCTCAATGACGAAGAAGAGTGATTGGTGAGCCCTATAGTCATTTAAGGAAATTGTGAATGGATCTCCAAATCAAACAAAAAGTGTTCGAGGTGGCGAGCAAAGACATACTTCGTGATCAAACGACGAGCAAGACATGTCCTATCAAGTCATGTTAGATTGATAGGAAGTCAGTCGGGTAAACTGACAGGAGGAATGTTGTAGCTTTGTTCGAGTGGAGGAGATTAATAGTGCGATAGAAGTCGTCAACACTAGGTATTTCTTACAATGTGGTACGTATAGCAAGGAGTGCATGACTATTCGAAGTAAGATACAAACGGTACTTTGTTCGATGCGATGATTGTTGGGGTTGTTAAGTGTGCGAATAAAGTCCCATTAAAGAAGAGAGTGGTTCATGGTATATAATGGAGGACAATTATCTCTATTGATAAGAGATATTTCAAATGAAACCAAAAATAAAATTAGGATTGTTATTTTTAGATGAGAAGGCCACTAAGAGTAAACAAACTAACCTGAGACCATGGGAGTGGAGAAATGGAGAATGACGTGGAGGGCATCTCCTACTCACTATGATGCATTATCATCTCCAGACTGAAATTGATCTCAAATTTTTTTGTTATTTTTATTCAACATCTTAAGAACACAAGCTTCAAAAGATTGAATAGGGTATTCCTAAAAATAAAAAAAATAATAAAGAAAGTAAAAGTTTTGGCATTGAATAAAATTAAATGCGTGGAAAAAAATTTAAATCTCCTACCCAAAGGAGCTCCACTCCACTTGTTGTCTATGGATAAATATATATATAGTTAGTTAACTCTGTATTCTGTAATGTAATTAAGTTACATTGTTCCTCCCTGTCTACACTGCCATCATGCCGGAAGTATATGGTATTCCGGTGCGCTTGATCCATGGATCCCCACGAAGAAACCTCCCAACGGTGAAATCCACGGCGTGCTCCGGCGTAATTTGCTTGATGCCTCGCCATTTGACGCGCTTGTCCTTGGCTGCTCCGGGCCCTCTGTTGTTGAACTCTGCATAAAACAGAGTTTTCAAAGCGAAGTTCCCCTGCCATGGGAGCCACCCCTCCGGCTGGATCAAGTCGTCGATTTGGGACTGCATGATGATGGTTCTCGAGTACTCCTTCCAAGGCCGCCCCAGGTAGGCCTTGTTCACCATTCGGACCGGGAAGTATGCCGGGTCCGACGCGATCACGCAGTTCTGGAGGATGATTGCGGTCGGCTCCCGCCTTTGAGTCCTCCCCTGGGCCGTCACAATGCATTGCTGGTTCTCCATTGGCTTCCTCACCAAGATCTTGCAGTTCTGGAAGATCGCTGCAGCGTTGCCGAAGATGAAGTCGATGGTGCCGGTGATGGTGCAGTCCCGGTAGAATTGCCGTGAAGCGTGCGTGTACAGGGTGTCTTGATAACCATCCATTTGACAGTTGTAGAAGATGGACATGTCGGATTGAACTCGAAGCGCCACAGCCTGGTGCTTCGCTGCTCCTGCTGAATTCTCGAACCCCAAGTCTTTGCCGATGAAGTTCGTCCCAATCACAGCTGAAAAATTTGACAAGCTCATTATTTTTATTATATGTTTTTAAAAATTCTCTGGTTTTGCATTTATCTCTCTGAACTTACCAACTGTAGCGGTTTTGAATGTGGTGATGCCGTCGATGAAGTTCAAGCTGCCTGTGATCTTGGTCTTGGTGGGGCCGTCGCCGACCATCATGACCCAGGTCATGTGTTTGTCAATAAGCACTTGCTCCTTGTAAATTCCAGCCTTAATGTGAATTACAAAAGTTTTGTTAGTGGGGTTGTCTTTTGCCGTTGGGATGTCCTTCAGAGCTTGGTTAATTGTCTTGTACTTCCCGCTTCCGTCCTGAGCCACCACCACGTCTGCCTTGATGTTTCCTGGACTCGCTTGGAGCAGCGCCCTCCTCTGACTCACCCACGACGGCTCCGACTCTGTTTCCTCTGCATTGGCATTGGATTCCTTTGTCGTCATCAGTCGTCGCCCGATCGCCGGAAGCCCAAACGAGGTCATGATGGATGAGACTTCATCCACCATGGTGAGCCCATTGGTGGTCAATTCCTGCGACATTTTGAGTACACCCTTCATCTTCTCCCTAGTGTCACCCGTCACGTTCTCGAATCCATCCAGGCAAATCCCCTGCTCATAGATAAGAGACCTTACAAAAATTTATAATACATATTGACTATTCGAATTATAATATTAATACCTGATACGTCAGCGCAGCACTCAGCCACACCTTCAGATCCTCCATGTAATCGTCAATTTTGTCCATGTCGAAATTGTCGGTGATTTTGTTGAACGAATTCTTGAGATCGTCGATGGCGTAATCGGCCAGCTCGCCGCAGTCGTCGAGTGCCAGCTTGGCCTTAGGGTCGGCGGCCGCCGATTTCAAGGTGGAGCTGTTGCTGATGGCAAATCTGAGTTGTTCGACGGCGGTGTTGAATCCGACCTTGATGAGCTCACGTGGGTCGCTCGTATTGACGGCGGCCGCCTCGAGCGTTTTCTCACATGTTTCTGGGTAATCGGTGGGCTGACAGATGGCCTTCACCGACTTGGTGGAGGTCGTGATCTCCCCCGAACCGCCGTCGGGGCTTTTGTTGACGCCGACAGCCACCGCAACTACCATCGCAACGAGAAACAGCGAAGACACGCCGATGAGGGCAGCCTTCTTATTCCCTCCATCGCCATCAGACATTTTTTTTCTTTTTTGGAATTAGTTTTGCCCGAGATTATCCTTTTTTTTGTTTTTTTTTAATGTTTCATTTTTCACTTGGCTAATGGCATAATGGAAGTTGCAGCAGCACTGCCTTGCTTTCTGGTGTTAATCGGAGAAACGAAATTTATGGAGGGACCGGAAAAAGAAATTTTGGGCAGGGATCCGAGATGACAGTTAATACCGTTACTGTCGGAACATTCTGGGGAAGCCTTTCTTGATATTGACTTTTCCTTTTAAATCAGTTGTGTTGCTTTCCAAAAAAAACAAAATTAAAAAAAAACATTGTGTTGACTTTTTCCAGTCTAAATTTAGCTGGGTTCTCACGTTTTCTAATTTCTTAACTTAATTAGGATTTAATTTCATCATGTTTATGAACCCATTATGTTGTGAATTAAATTAAGACATCCCACAGTGCTATAGTTCTGGGTTGTTTTGTTTTATCTCTGAGAAAAAATTTAGCTCCTCAATTTGTGCAATGAAGAGAAATCTTGCCAACAGTTGACACCTCATCAATATTAAAAAAAAAAAAAAGTCTTATTTTTATATTTCTCCCACCATCTCGCTGAGGAGCAAAATATTTTCCTAATTTTAGATGGAAAAATACTTAGACACTTTATTAAATCTTATCCTCACCACCATTAAATGTTTGAAGGAGAAATACGAGATAGCAAACCTCGAGTATTGAGATAACTTTAAAAATGACATAAGTGTTTTTAAATAGTCCAAAGTAATAATTTTAAGTTGGCATTACTACCTTAGATCATCAAGTTGATTTTCATATATATGTCCGGGCCAGCTTATGCAGACTTCGACTAATCTTATGCGGCAACCACTTGGCTAACATTTTGTGCTGAAAACCACGTTCATGAAATGTTAACTCATTCCCTTTCAATTAATTCTAATCTTGTTGGACCAATAAACCGCTTTTAGTACGATAAGAAATATTCAACTTGAAAAGGAACAAAGGTCTTTTACAACTAAACCATTGTGTTATGCTATTGCTCGTCCAAAGAAAAAAAAATACAAAACATTACTATGCTCTTATTGAATTTTTTTCATGGGCGTAACAAGACGCCACCATCCCAACAGATACAACCATAATAATACATTCCTTCAACATAAAGCTGAAATATAATCCACTTATTCTTTCCTTCTGTTTTCTTACTTTGTCTTATTCCTTGTCCTTTTTAACATGACTTTTTTCAGTCGTATGGTACCTGAGAATCTTCCTTTAACTTTCAGAGTTTGGCTCTTCGAAGTTCCAACTTGGCGATGGTTCCTAAATGAACTTCATCAGGGCCATCTGCTATTCTTAAAGTTCTTGCGGTAGCCCACAGATGAGAAAGAACAGTGTCAGAAGACAAGCCACCTGCACCGTGGACTTGCATTGCCATGTCCAGAACCTGCAATGCCATATTTGGGGCTGCAACCTGTACCAAGTTTCACCGAGACGTTAATCAACAACAGTGGAGCGAAAAATCAAGACAATGTTGTTGAGAAATGATTTTAAAAAATGTCAACATTTTAAATTTTTTTTATCCTTAATGCCCCAATAAGATTTCAAAATTTCTCGACTCCACCCTGTGTATGTAAAAGAAAGGGGGAATGAAGATTGGTTTCTAGAACTTGGAACAATGACAAATTGCACCTTGTGTGTGTGGAATCTACGAATCATATCTCTGTAAGTGAAAATAGTTTTACATAACCTTTTGAGATGCAAAATCTATAAATTATACCATTTTGTTCAAATTTACCGTAATTTAAAGTTTTTAACAGAACAAGCACGTGCCTTGTTCTAGGTGTCATATGTGTTGATTCCATGAAAAGCTAATAACTCTAATTAACAAAATGGGTAGTTTGAAGATTTTGCTTGAGTGTTCAAAACCATTACAAAACAAGAGGATACTATTTATAAAGTCCACAAACTTCTTCAAGTGTAAATGTGTAATTAGCAATTATCCTGAGAACTTCTATCAGATGTAGTAAAATTTACCTTGGCCATTGCAATTGTCCCACGCGCTTTCTTGTTTCCTAGCCGATCCAACTGGTCGGCTGCTTCCAAAACCAGCAATCTTGTTTTCTCCAGTTCCACTCGACACTGACATGAATGTAGCCATTATCACAATCATTTTTAGTGTCAAGGAGGATCATGTAGCATACAAGTGAACCAAGGAATTCTAGTTAAGATTTCCAATTGAAATGGGGTTCTGAACCTGGGACGTGATATGAACCCCCCCATAGATGATTTATGCTATGGTCAATGTATCAAATACCTTGGCAATGTCTGAAAGGAAGGAACCCTGCTCAGCAATCAGCTTTCCAAACACTCTTCTACTAAGAGCCCTCTCAACTGCCATCTGCATACCTCGCTCTGCAGCTCCTATCAACCTCATGCAATGGTGCAGCCTCCCTGGGCCCAGCCTACCCTGCAGCGATATACAGAACCAGAGGAAGGTCGTTCAAGTAAACAATAAGAACACTTGGTAGGTAAATAGCGAAAAACAGGCAATGACAAAGAAGAATAACCATATGTGCATGTGAAACTGTATCTGTATTTTGCGAACTAGTAACAAGATACATAGGAATAAATCTGCTTCTGGTTTCATGTCCTCAGTTAATAAACTTGTTGACAAATTGGAAGTTTATACAAATCCAGACTTCACATTTTCGGCGAAGTTCCATTTTACTGAAAATGAAACTGCTCCATCAGTTAAACTTCTAGGGAATACTCGAAGCCAACACCATTTGTTGCAAGGATCATAATCCATAGGATACATAATACAAGGTAATGTATTAAGGATTTGAACAAATTACCTGGGCAATTTCGAATCCACGACCCTCTCCAAGTATAATATTTGTTGCAGGAACACGCACGTTGTCAAATATTATCTCAGCATGACCGTGAGGTGCGTCATCAAAGCCAAACACTGTTAGCGGTCTTTTAATTATTACACCTGGAGTCTGGATGTCAACCAAGATCATGGACTGTTGCTTATGCATAGCAGCATTGATATCTGTTTTTCCCTGCAAATAATGGAGATTGGAGAATCCCTCGTTGCATAAATAATCATACAAATTAATTTGGAAAGTAATAGATGAATAAATATTTTTTCTAAATAGTAGAACTAACCATAACTATAAGGATTCTGCACCTCGGATCCAAGGCTCCACTTGTCCACCATTTTTTTCCATTGATGACAAAGGTATCACCTTCCCTGCGTGCAAGTGTAATTATATAAATAACAAACAACATTGTCTGTACAGTTGTAAGATCTTCTATGTTTCTAAAAAGTCTGACATTTCTTTTTGGAAAGAACTACCAAAATGTAAATGAAGGATAAGCTTAATCATAAATTAATGAAGAAAAACATATCCGGAAGGAAAACCGTCATTCATCATGCCTTTAGTTGAAGATTCAATATCTGTAATATCTATCCTCATTGAAAGTTGTTTCTACGAAATAATTGAAAAAAATTTAATGTAATCCAAACAATGGGGAGTTTCTCTCTTTTTCTGTACACTAATTAGGAGAGATCTTATCTGTAAATAAATGTTTCACACCATTCCACTACCTTTTAATTGAACATTCGATGTTTGTTGCATCAGAGGATGCAACTTGTGGTTCAGTCATGGCAAATCCTGAGCGTATCTTTCCTTCAAGTAAAGGAATAAGCCATTCATGCAGTTGCTGTTTATTGCCATACCGCAACAATACCTAATATAATGAAAAGACAAAATGATCAATACAGTTCCAAACTTCCAATAATGGATGCTTATATCATGCCATAAATCTGTCAAAATTTGACCGTATCATTGGTGTCAAATATATTCGTATCTATCCATTGATTGGTCTGTTCAATTTATTATAGAGTCAATATGTAGGCACAGCAGTTATAGTAGCTGGCAGCCTTGCAGGCGGAATTCAGGCTATGAAATATGATCTTACCTCCATATTTCCAGTGTCGGGTGCGCCACAATTGAACACCTGAGGTGCCCAAATAGATCGACCCATTATCTCACAGAGATACCCATATTCAAGATTAGAGAGGCCAGCACCAAGAAGAAGGTTGTCTGCACCTGCAGAAGGGATGTGGCTACTTCCATCGAAAAGCAGTTTCCTTGCTCTACCAGCACTATCAAACTGCACAAGGAATCTTATTTCTTATACTAGTATTAAAAAAGCAGAGAAGTATGAGAACATGTGGGTAAATGAGAGAAGAGTCAAAATACAAACAGGTATCCACAAGTTCCACAAGCCTTCTTTCTTAGCCATCTCCTTTAGTTTTTCTTCCTCTGGGTGAATGGTCCAACGTGAGGAAGACAGAGCAAGTTTATAAAATTCATTTTCCATAGGATATATATGATCTTTCATGAACTTAGACAACCTTTTTCTCAACTCCATGACCTTTTCACTGGGGACAAAGTTTCCTCCATTTTTAAGAACGCACCATTCTTCATTCTCCTTCCTAGCATGTTGTGGATCAACTCGTACAATTGAATCTGAAGTTGTTGAAAGGGAAATAACACCTTATTAAATATTCTTGGTTATGTTCTACAAGAAGCCCAAAAACCTTTTTAAAAAATAGAAATACCAAATGGAGGATTCTCGGGAAGCACAGATTTTTGTTCAATAAATGCCCAAGCACAATCAATGAATGCATTAGCTTTTTCTCCAGAAACCTGGGCACTCTCACCTCCTGATGCATTTCCCTACATTCTCAGAAGAAAACTGTGAATTACCCCAAATAAACAACTTCAAAAATCACCCTATTTGCCTCTCCACATATTCAATGATTGAGAAGATACCATTATCCATCGACTATAAATTCCTGCAAAGATTGCAGCTGCTCGGAAAATGGATAAAGCAACATAAAACTTCCAAGCAGAAAAGGGCCATGGTCTTCCCTGCAACAAGAAATTCCACAAAAGTGTGTCTCAAGAACCAGTGACATATATTTTAAATGATGAATCTACACTTCAGCTAGATCAATGAAATGTGCCCATGAGCATTCATTGTCGACAAATCTAATATAAATCCCCCTAAAAAATGTCTTCAATTCAATCTAGGT